CCCACCGAGCCGTTAGAGAGCGGCTGCGTCGCGCCCGGCGGCAATTAAGCGGCTGCTATATTGAATTTCTACGCGCGGGTATTTGGTCAACTTACTTAGCGCGGTGGCGACAGTTACTTGGTCGATGCCGGCGGTCAAGGAATTTATGGCGCGGTCTCATTATGTTCAAGTGCGCGTTTGCCTCCGAGTCGTGTGAGGTAGTGCCGCGAGGAAAGAGGGGAGGGGGAACCAACGATTACCCGACGTGTCACACAGCGGCCGCGCTGAAATATTCGATCAATGGAGCAAAACTATTAGCCCCCAGGCCCTCTCCTCCCGCGCCGACTCGCCACTCCGACCTCTTTCCCCTCCTCCACCACGCCCGCCCTCCCCGTCCGCCGCTCGACATGACATTACGTCCATTAGCGCCAAACCGTCACACGTCGTTTCGCCCGATCGTATGCCGTTTTGTTTCCCCTCGAGGGCGATGTTCAATGTGCGGACGACCTTTCACAAAAATTTTAACTCGACTTCGATTTGGAGCCCTGTTCGAGTCAGGTCGTGGGATTTTATGTTACACACGAACATCACCGTGTCGCCCTCGAGATATCCATTCATCCATTCGGATATATATGTTTCGTAAATGATGATTCACGGTTAAGCCACATTTATCGTCTACATGATTGCGTGCTACAAGGCAGTCGGAAAGTGACTGGCTGTTTTAAATTCTCTGGCTGAGAAGCTCCAGGATTTTCTGCCAGATAGAGGAAGAAAAATAGAGAATTCGCGCAGTGGAGAGAGAGCGTTTGCGATGGTACGGCGTTCTCCATGCCAACGTTATTTCTGATGTTATTCGGGCTAAAAATTACTGTCCAAATAAATTCCCAATGGCAGGGTGTTCTGGTGAAATATTACGCGTTTAGCCGTTCGTTACTAACGGTCGGGGAGAACAATGATATTAGTCTTTAATTACTCTTCTAAGCTCGTAATCTTCACAAATGTGAATTTTTACTCTCATTAGTAAACCGTTATTCTGTAGTTTATGACACGTCAGCAAAGATACGTTTGCATGTAACAACAAAATTAAAATATAGACATTGATGTAATTGAAGAGATTTATATTCCCCATCCTTATTTCTCAATAAACCAATTTTGTTTACTTGGACATCTTTTTTTATTTGTTCACTCTATTCTATAATTATTATCGTATTAAATGATTATCGATTGAGAGTATCGTAGTAAATGATTTTGTGCACGAACGAACAAGTGCTTCGAGTACTTTATTTTGTACGGCTATATTTTCACAATTATTTCAGGATAAGGAACTTGAAGCCTGACAATGTAAAAGAATCAAATAAAATGTAAATACCACAATGTTCTAATTGCGTTTCCCCAATTACTCGTATACTTTCAATTAAATTATTACTCGGAAGCGCATACTCAAATCTTGTTTTGAAATTAAAATGAAAGCAAGCAAGTTATCTCCTTTTGGGTTAAATTTTCCTGTCTTTGTTTTGAACTATATAGCCATTATCTAATGAAGACTGAAAGACCGATGAGAATTTAAAAAATCACAAATAACGGAAGAACCGTGTTTGGTCAACTTATTTTATAGCAAACTGTTTCTGAAAACATGCTATTTTTTAATCATTCGTGCAAAAATGGATCAGAAACATTTCAAATTAGCTCAGATAACGGCAATACAATTTTAAGACCAATTTAAACGGCCACCCTTTTTGTTACCAACACAATTTCGTTATTGATCTTAATGATATAATTTCATTTCCAAGAAAGTTCGATTCTCACGTCCTAATGTCCCTGAACTTATCAGCTTCTTACCATCTAACGACGGCATTGCGTGAGATATCTCGCCTAGCACCCCCGTGTTCCCACCCACGCAGACCGCACGAGCGTGCACTTACGTCAGCCTGCAGCATGTTGTAGTGCTCCTCCTTGGCGCACAGCGACTCCTTCAGCACCGCGATGTGGCGCTGGTAATCGGTGTGTTGTTCCTCCAAGGTCTTCATCTTCGCGGACATGGCCAGGATCTCTTGGTCGCGGCGTTGAACCTCCGCTCTGAACTCCTCCAACTGCGACGCAGCGTGATGTAAAAGAGTGACGTGATGTAACGTCAGGCCACGCGGTGGATGTGACATCAGACGTGTTGTGACGTCAGACGTGTTGCGACGTCAGGCGTGTTGCGACGTCAGACGTGTTGCGACGTCAGAAGCGACGTGACGTCAGACGTGATGTGACAGGAAGTGAGACGACGCGAAGTGAAGCGAGGCAGGGCAGAGGCAGAAGAGGCGAGTATAAGTTGCGTTCACGCGGCGGCGGGCGCCCCTCGTAGGTCCCTTACAGGGACCCAGGCGCTCCCGCCGCGTACCGCCGCCCTGCTGCTGTTATTAGGTTTGTACATGGCACGCTAACTGGCCTACCTACTACTCGAGCTCATCTCGCTACGCACCGGCTCTCAACCGCGCACTGCGTTGGGCAGCGCCGTCCAGGCGGGACGCCACGACCCTGCGTCAAGGACGCCGTCACATGCAGGTGGTGCCAAGAATTCCATGTCGTCCTTCGTCGGGCGAAGGACATAGTGTGGTTTTGAGAGATCGAAACATAAATTTTGTCGAATGTTGTGCATTCAGTGAAGGATAGAGTACTGGAATATAGTTTAGATGTAACTATGTTTATATATGGTGATTTTCGCAAATGTCTCGATAAAAAAATTTTTAGAATAAAAATAAATAATGTATTATTGTGTCAGAATATCATGTTTTAGTTTGTCTTGAACATATTTGTCACTTATGATCAACATTTTATTTCAAATTAATTTTCATCTATAATACAATAGAAAGCCAAATTCACTTAGATAGAAATTTGTAATCCATCCTCATAGAATGCAAAATTTTTGCAATGTGGATTTCACTTCCAGAGAGAATTTTTCAGTACAAACGTTAATAAACAACGACCAAATTTTGGTTCAGAAACACCTACTAGTGATGACGGAAATGGAATAGTCCGAAGCTCCCCTTCTGGATAGTGTTGCCCGATGCGACACCACTCGCGTCCTCAGAATTACTTTTCTCTTTACTGTTTCTTTTAGTTCAATATTTCCTCAGCCAACAGATGGCGTGTTTCAAACCGTTTGCTTTCTTTAGAATTTTTGTCATCAATACTTCGAGCAGAATGCTCGTCATCACTTTATGAGACAGGCGTTGGCTAAATGGCTTTTTGCTTTTTAATTTATTGCGAACAGGCCGTGAGATCGAGTGTTCCGAGACAGGAAAAGAGAAAGAGAAGGCTGGGGTGAATAATGTTTTAATAACTCGTACGTGTAAGAGAGAAAAGAGAGAAACGAAGACGAGAGTACAGCATGAGAAAGGGCTGTGTTTTATCAGTTTTTAAGGAGGTTGAGAGCCGCTGCACTATATGATCTCAGAGAAAAATTAAGTACATATATACTTGAACGATATACTTACTATGTTTAGTGAGCTTTCGTGAACTTTAAAAACATTTCCCACTAATTTGCAAATGTTCTGAAAGAAGTAAGAATTAAGTATTCATAGGTGTTCACTCCACAGAAAAGACCCATGCCATACCAAAAACAAAAACAGTTCTCAAATG